AGAGAGAGAGAGAGATTGGGCAACACTATCCTACTGTTGATATTAGAATTTCCTACTGCAAATTTTTTTTTATCATAAGATAACATTATGGGTTTAAAATTGCCTTTTGACAATATATTGTTCATGTATTTGTGGAATGGTAGTTTGGTCTTGGGCTGGTAATTCTTCCCAACAAAAATTCTGCAACCAAACCACTCATTCCTGGCGATGCAAGAGTGGCCATCTTATCATCCTAAAAATCAATTTCAAAGTTAAAAAGATTCCTTTTACTTTTTGAATCATGTATGAATTATGGACAGTTCCCAATCTTGCTTCTTTTAAATTTTCAAACAAGTTATTGCTATTGCAGTTCTAGAACTGTAAGGGTATTTTGTGTTTCATATGAAAATCAATTTTTAAAAGATTGCTTTTACTTTTAAAACATATTTTAGTTTTAGACAATTACAAATTTCCCCTTACTCAAAAATTTCAATCAAGTTATTGTGATTTAAATTATGGATTTGTAAGGCTACTTTATGGTCGAAAATTGTGGGCACCATTAGAATGGTGAAGCACAGAAATGACAAAACATCCCCCGCACCCACCCAAAACACCCAAGAAACCAACAAAAAAACCACGCACATGCACACAAATTAGCTGGTTATCTTTGGGGAGGGGGTAGCCAATGAAGGGGGGCTAGATGATGGTTGTATAATCTCATGCTTGGTTTTTGGAGTTATAGTCCAATCTAGAATCTCATTATGTGAATCTTAGGAGTAGGTTTGCTGAGCATCGGTTGCAAAGAAGGGTGGCAATCCTCACTTGTTTGATATTCTCTTTGCTCAATCCAACACCATGAAATTTCATGCTTGATCAAACGGGTAGGACAGTTTGAAAAGTCCGCCTGACCTTTTTGAAATGTTTTTTTTTCCATTTATTTGATTTTTGAAAATGTTTTCCTTTGTTTTTTCTTCCAAACCAATCCAACCGGTTAGAATGCTGATCAGACCGGTTTGGATGGGTCCATACAACTCATGAACTCAACGTCCAGTCCAGTCGTGATAGCTTTGGTTTATAGAGCTCTCAAGATCTCTTGGAATTCCAATGATGCCCTCTTCACATCACTCGACAGAAAACTTTAGCATGTTGCCCTTGGATCACAATGCGTTGTAAATGCTTTTTATTGAACCCACTCTACTTCCTATCTTTTTTCTTTTGCTTATTATGCTGAATCTCCATTGGCTGATCCTATCTCAAAGGCTTGAACTGGACTAATGTGATGCACGATAGTCCTTTTATGACCATTTCCTCATATGGTATTTATACCTTTTAGCAAACTTATCCCAGTGATAGCCTTTATGGGTTTTGCATGAGTTGTAGCACCCTCATGAATGACCTGACTCTGACCCAGATCAGACTCAGTATTTTATTAGTTGAGCCATTTTATTAAAGGAGCCCTATTCTGTACATTGAGGCCCCCATTTGGATGTCTTGGTAGTTGTATCAAAGAAATATCTTTCAGTTCCTTCATGGGCGATCCTGGACAGCTCTAGTCCTAAGTGTTCATAATCGTATTGAAGAAGTTCCTATTTTGGGAGGATGGAGGGATAATAAGTTTTTTTCCTTTGTAGTGTTAGGGGAGTCTCAGGGGAAAAGCATGGTTGCAAAAGTATTCTTTCCCATGAATCATGGCATGCCAACTTGGCATGGCTCCCTCTCTTTAGTTGGCGTAAGATGAAATTAACACTATGGCATAAGAGAAAATTAACTCTATGGCCCAAATTCTGGTTGTCCCCCCAATGGGGCTGTAGTTTATAGCAAACTTCCCCTGCTGTTATAGAATTCTGTTCTGAAATGAGAAAGTGCATTCCCATAAACATTTCTGCTTTGCACATTGTTTTAGTCTTTGATTGACTAGTTACATTAGACTTTGATGAATGGGAGACTGAAGCATTTTCGACCTTTTTTGCATCAGCACTGACATTCATCTCCATCTCAAACTCTGTCCCAAAAAAACTCAAATGAGGGGCAGAACAACATTGGAATCTCCATGAGTGTGGATCGCCTTGTTCTACGCTTAATTTTTCTACTGCACTCAACATTGATGCCATTAATGTCTGTTGATTGACTTAGCTTTCTACGATATCCATTGGTTGTTCGGTCCTCTTATACACCACCTCTCATTAGGGTTTCCGTAACCTGATTAGGGCATTCGTGCCCTGATTCCTCCCCTTACAACTTTATGGGCTGTGGAAACCTTTACAGAAATGGATTGATTATTAGGTTAACAAGGCATCAGAAGTAATGGGAGCCTCAGTCTTACCTTACTCCACATTTAGGGGGTGCCCCAGCTACTGGAGTAATTTCAGTTGATGGAGGAGATGCATTAGATGAACTCCATTTAAAGAATCGTGGGAATATATTGTGCAGTAGTGGTCTGTTAGCATGCATTCAAACGAATAGAGAATCTGGTTTGTTATTTGAACTTGGCATGAACTTAGCTGCAAGCTATATCCCAGTTGTTGGGTGTAGTTCTGATGGAATCCCGTACTGTCTATGAGTGAATCATGATCAATACGGCATACTGGTATGTAGTGTTACAGTGTATTTTAAATGTTTATTCACCTCTTCCTCTCTCTCTCCTTGTGCTTCTTATGGCAACAACAAAATCTCTATGCTCTTTCTCTCTTATTTCTCGACTCGTGCACTTCTCTGTGAATCAGATTTCTTTCTTAATCTATCTCTAAGCTTCGATTGTCAAGATGCCCTTCTCCCTTTTCTGCTTCTAGTTGAGATAAAAAGCAGGTAGCAATTTGGGAACTTCTAGCACTGTTGAATAGAGAGTTAAAGAAATAAAGAGATTTATGAGTTGCTCAGATGAATGATGAGGATCTGAGAAGATCATACACTGTCTGCAAATGACTAATTTTTCGGTTTTTTGCCTTTACATTCTTTGCTTTTGGGCACGCGGTCTTCTCTGCATTCAGCACCATCTCCATGGAATCAATTGAAACCTTAAGGCTCTTTGACAACAAATAAAGACATGGTTTTTACAGGCTCTTCGACAATAGAACCTTACCTTGGACGACCGCTTCATACCACTAGCATCTAAACCCTAAAACTTGGAGGAATCCTGGTCTCCATACAACATATCCTGTATCATGTGGGGATGGGCATCCTTCTTGGTTTGAGCCTTGCCCTTCACCTTCGCATTGTTTTGGCATGGGGAGAAAAAGGGTTAAAAGGTGAAATAAAAATTTTAGGTAAAAATATTAAATAGATATAAAATAAGTATAAAGTGGGCGGTCCACAAGTCCCACGCCTAGCAACAAGGTGTATTTAAAATACACATGATCATTCCTCTTTGTGTTTGAGGCTCGTAGTCATGTGCTTAGCGACAACTATTGGTGATAATATCAAATTATTAGATTTTTCTCGCAATAATATAAGAAGGCTGTATTATCTGTGATATTACCCTGATAATATGAAATTATTGCAATAATTAAGAGCATCCTAATAATTTTATCTGATATAAGAAGGAAGTATGAAGTGGACGGTCCACAAGTCCCACGCATAGCAACAAGGTGTATTTAAAATACACATGATCATTCAACTTTGTATTTTAGGCTCGTAGTCATATGCTTAGTGACAATTATCAAATTATTAGATTTTTCTCGTGATAATATAAGAAGGCGGTATTATCTGTGATATTACCCTGATAATAAGAAATTATTGTAATAATTAGGAGCTTCCTAATGAGATCCCTCTAATTAATGTTTCCAATAATATTGGGCTTGATTAAAATTGCCAACTCACCAGGAAAAATGGATTTACCAATATAGAATGATTTATAATTGATTGCTAGTTGCTATATCATGAGGATTGTATTGATGTATTGTTGGTTCTTTTTTTTTTTTTTTTTTGAATAATTAAAATGAAGGTAGACATATTTCATTATAAAACAGTTCCCCTTTTTTATGGTAAACATGAAATATGGAAGGTCCAACTGTCCAAGAATTTTTGGGATTTTTTCATGTTAATATTCAGTTATTATTTTATAAAAATTTCACAGTAAATAAATTTTTGAATAGTCTAATTTCTTGATATATTACCAATAAATATCTTATAAAAAGGACTCAGTCACTAATATCCCAACGAAAACAATTGTTGATAATATCCTAATAACAGTAATTGTCACTTAGCTCAAGTGATTTGAAGTTCATCATGCTTGGGTTGCATCTGGATTTCGGCATTGTTAGCTTCATTGAACTTGCCCTTATCCTTCTCCATGTAGTAATCCTTAGAGGAATCCTTTCCCTTGGTTGCTTGCAGGTTGTGACAGCAGTGAAGTCTAATGGAGGTGAGGTTGCGGTCATGCAAACTCTCAACAGAGCACGAGAGATTTACAGGAACAAAGTGAGAGAGAGTGCAGCTGCTGAGGAATTGGCTTCTTTGTTTGCTGAGTGTGCCATCTCCCAAGCTGAACCTCCATTGCTTCGTAATAACAACAATGACACCAGGATGGATGCTTTGGGTGATGTGATGCAACCAGCTGGCGGGTCCATACTCGCAAAGAGTGGGCGAATGCAAGTGGTATTGGATGCCTTTGCTGATGGGAGCAGCTTCATCTGTCTTCAGTGTGGCGGACTCGTGAGTAATCTGCGCAGAGAAGAGCACTTTGCTTACTGGTGCTGCCAAAACTGATGAGATTGAGATACAGTGATGTAAATGGGCGTGTTGTAACTTCTGCTACTCTATAATGTAAGAAGTAGATGCGCAATATTAATAGATATGGCTGGTTTGAATCTGAGTTGTTTACGTACTATATGTGTGTTTGCCCAACATCAATATGTTGCACAATTTGGTCGTATTAGGTTTATGGGTGGTGTGAAACAGTGAATGGCTCCTTGGAAGCTGTTTCTTTGCCATAACTGTGGAAATTCCTCAAAATAATTCTCTCATGAACTTCTCTGTTTGGATTTGGCAATTGACCATCGAATTTTGGGATGGGAAAAGTTGCTTTACACAGGTTTTTATAACACATCCACCGTTATTTTCCACCAAACCCAAACTGGCTTTTTGGATCTTTTATGAACGCACAAGGTACAAACTCATTCGGGGTAGATCTAAGTGGCTCGGTACTTGAGATTTAACTGTCATATTTTTTGATTCTTAGGTATTTAGGTAGCTAATATCCTGTTTTGCTTTTGCTTTCCAAAATTCTCATCTAGTCGACTGTGAAGTAGATCAGATACAAAACACTCATCTAGTGATCTTGGAGTAGATCATATAAAGAAAAGTCCTCCCAAGTTGATCATTTGCCTGAGGAAGTTAATGTGAATTTTGCACTTGCGTGAGATTTGCTTGTGCTCATATCGATATATATTGATGATTCAGTTCTACTAGTCTGACTAAATTAAAGAGAAGAAAAAGATGGAAAAAGTTCCACTTTTAATGGCTGGGCTTCTTCCCTACATGGTATCTAAAATGATATTTACTCTACGAGCATTATTTACTCTAAAATGATATTTACTCTACGAGCATTATTTACTCTACGAGCATTACAGTCTTTAAAGTACCGTAGTGCTTAGCGTAGTCATTATGGTATTTAAAAGACCGCAAGTCTTGAAATACTACTAGAAAACTATTGGAAATTTGAGCATTACGGTCTTTGAAGTACAGTAATGCTTAGCCTGATTATTACGGTACTTAAAATATCAAATGCGGCAGTCACTACGGTAATACGACTATCGTGAAGGCCATTTCTAATGTGAAGGCTATTTTCATAAATGAAGTTACTCTAAATATTGGTCCTAACTTGGTCAAACTATTTGATATTCTCGGATGAAAATTTTTTTTTTTTGCAGCAGAAAATACAGGGTGACCCTTACTAGAAAATAGACCATAACTTTCAAACCATAAAGAATTTCATTATGAGTCCAAAACTAATTTTATACTAGAATCATGCATCTAATATTTCAAATTGTTTCATCTCATTTTAGTAAATTTTGGTCAGTCAAAATCTTCACATAAAAACATGTTAAGTCCTTGGATTTTCATTTCACAAATATGCCATGTATTAACAATCGTTAATAACTTTCAAATTACATGAGATATTAATATGGGATCTTTTCCATGTGGAAATAGATTCAACATTCTGCTGACATACTAAAATTAATGGTCTAAGTCAAGCTTAAGGTACCCTAACAATCTCTCAAATAAAGACCATAATTATGGAAATTAGAATACTCTTTAACCAAATTTTTAGTAAGATTGCATCCATACTCACTCACACACACACACGCACACACACTTGAACTTCACATTAGAAATCGAAAAATAAACATGCATTAATATAAGAGCAAAACCATGGAAACTAAATCTACTTACATGTATTAACATAAGCGTGAAACTATGGCAACTAGATCTACTTACCTATTCTAATAGAAATCCCCTAGATGAAATGTTCTACAAGCTCCACTTTGGTTGAAGCTTCAAATGGATTGGGTTCAAGCTTCAGAGGATTAAGGCTTAGGGTGGGGGTTGATGGGTTTGGAGGGATTTAATGGTTAAGGGAGAAGAAGAAGAACAAGAGGAAAAGAGGGGCAAGTGAGGGAGTGAAGAGGTGAGGAGAGAGAGAGAGAGAGAAACCAAATTTATGAGTGGATGGGGTGTATAAAAGTATGGGGGGGTTGAAGCATGCATGTGCCACATGGTACTTAAGTGATCTTGTATGAGGAGAGAGAAGGCATGCATGAGGAACACAATGATGGGGGTGGAAGCATGCATGTGCTACATGGCACTCAAGTGATGATACATGAGGAAAGAGAAGGCATGCATGAGCATGTATGAGGAACACAACGATGGAGGTGGAATCATGCATGAAGAGAGAGTATGTGAGAGGAGAGAGAGTGCATGCATGTAATCATTGTGGGACGACATGCATGAAGTAATCATGTGCATTGGGATGGGTGAGTTTTCATGGGGATTCATGCGCATAAGAGTGTGTGCATACATGGGGATACATGCACGATGCATTGGGATGCATGGGAAAAAAATATTTTGGGTACAGATCATGGATTTTTTATGGTAGCTCGGATTTGAGCGATTTTCGTACTGTCGGAAAGCTCGCGATCCCTACAATAACATGGTACCACTCAAAACACCAGACAGAGGTTGTACAACAAATCAATAAAGAAAACTCAGATAATTATTAATAGAAAACGATTTAAGATGTAAACAAGATCAATCACTGGAAAAGTCCCGTACCTTACATCGGGGCTTCAAAATAGTACCAGACCATCGACATAGAATTCGAACTGTAAAAAAACCCCAGGGACCAAATTTGGGCTCAATCGAACTTCCTATGACCATTTTGGGCCCAAATTACCACAACACTATGACCATTATGGGCCCAAATTACCACAACACTATTGCAGTGCAGCCTCGGTGAACTAGTTTTCACTTCTGGATAATGCGTTTTCCCCTCTCGGGATGATTTTCAAGCGCTCATGGCTCGCTCATTTGGAATAAAAATAAGCTCAAATTTGGACACAAGTTAGGTCTCGACGATCTAATCATTTCGACATATGGAACGCGCCATAACATGACTCGAGACAAGAGATTTTCTAAAGGGAAGCTGAGCCCAAAACCATAAAAAGCAGAACTTTAGAAGAGATCCCATGCTTCGTGAAGTGATAACTCTAAATCCGTAAATTGGATCCAATGAAAATAGGTCCGTTGCAACCGCAACACGAGGGGCTAGAGGCCATATAGTGCGAATTTCAAGGTTGAAGAAGACAATATTTCCTGGTCGCTGAGATCTCATTTTCTGGTGACTTCCCGAATTCGAAAACTGTTTAAGCGAAAACCAAATCGGACCAAACTTGCTGCAAAATGATTGTAACAGTCTCCTCTTTAATTCAAGATAAAAAGAGGACTCGATAAATCATAGATCGCACTGCATTGGTGGCCAAAGTTATGAACTTGGCCGGCTTTTACCCTTTGGGAGAAGTTCGTTTCAAGACAATCAAAAGACATCAAAATGTTCAGAATGGATCAAGTATTAATTCTGCAATGATGGATCGTACAAATCATTGCCACAAGCATCTGAAAAAGCTCCCGAAGTCTAGCAATAGCAAGAAGCCCCTCAGGGAGAGATGGTTTTGTCATTAGGGGTATTTTGGTCATTACATCCAAAAACGGGAATTTTACTTTAATTCTATTTAATTGTATTTTTCCTCAATTTGGTTTTGTTTTGAGCATCCACCGATGCTTTGTGGTTGCTCTATATAAGCAAGTTGAGGTCATTTGTAACAGGGCTGGATCATTCATTAATGAAATAAAGATATTAAGCTTGCTTTGCCTCTAACTCTCAGGTCCAACAATGAGGAGAGAGAAAATTTTAGCAAAGAGAAAAATTACCCTTTACCCTATGGGCCATAAGCTCTAGTCCGCTCATCTTAGCTCACAACGTTCACCTTAGCCTACATCCTAGCCTACACTTTAGCTCGTGCCAAGCACACACCCCAGTCCGCACACTCTAGCCAAGACCCAAGACCACACGCTACACCACGCACCATAGCTCACATTCCCTACTCTTAAACAACACCTGTACCTTCTCTCTCAAGTGCATGCAAAGAGGCCCACGAAGGTGCGCCTAGGTTAGGTCACAACCCGAGCCTACTCTTTGTTCTCTCTTTCTTCTCTTTACCCCCTTATATCATGTCTTACCCGCGCATCCGCGCGCAACTTCGTGCATTCGTCTAATACCCGCACATCTGCGCACATCTTCATGCATTAGTTTTGCACCTATGCACCCGTGCATGCGTGCACAACTTCGCGCATTCGTCTAGCACCTGTGCATCCACACACAACATTTTGCATTTGTTTCGCACCCATGCATCCACGCGCAACTTCTCACATTCATTTCGCACCCGCGCATCTATGCATAACTTCATGCTTTCACCCACACGTAATTCGGACATTCTCCTTGGACCCGAGTCTCTGCACGTGACTCTCCATTGCTCATGTTCATGCCCACGTCGTTATGGACAACCTCCCACATCGCGTCTTGCATGCCCACCTTTGTACACGCATCCTCCTTGTATTAATCGCGTGTTGGACTCAGTGCACCTTAGAGCTACTTTAAGAGTTTTGATGCTCTGATTGCCACTCTAACTTCCACTTCGTACAGTCAAGTTGAGTTACAAGAGACCTAGCCTCTCTCGCACTCGCTCACTTGGGTGGAGTCATCTTGAGTTAGTCTATCAAAGAGTTTTAAACCTCTAAGTGCTCTAATTGTTGAGCCTTGTTGCACTCGAGGAGTAAAAGAGCTACTGTGCATGCAAACCCCCCCCCCCCTTTTTCTCTCATTTTCTATTTTTTTCAACCATCCCTACTCAAGTGAACCATTACAGAGGAGTGACATATGAAATTACATTGAAAATTACAAGATAGAGGAGCGTGGTGATCTGTTGAAGCTTGAGGAGAATTCGTGTCCAAACTGCGCCAAAAACCGCATTGACAGACACCTAGAGGGCTTCTTCATTGTTCTAAGAGGGCATTGCCCGGGCGTATCCTGGAACCCGAAATGACGAGGTAAGCATCTAAACACGTCCTTGTCATTAAAAATCTCTCTTGTTGTTGGTTCCTATCCGCATTCGGAAGAGCACACGTGCACACTCAAATGCTCAAGCGCGTGTTCCCTTTGCGGTTGTTTGAGAGAGGATTTTCCCCACGCCGGCACGCCATCGTGTGTGAAGCAAAAATCAGGCCCTGAGCACTTACACTTTACGTCCAGGGCCACACTAGATAGTGGTCCAG